TTTCTGCTAATCCCATGCGGTAATTGGAGGACACAGTTATCTAAATGACTAATGTCATCTTTATGGCTTTCAGAAAGGATCAGGAGACCGACACGGTGACTATCAAAGGGACTAGCCAGCAGCAGCCAGCAGCAGCCATTGATATGATGATGATTAAATGTGCTGTTTTTAGGAACATCCATGCCAAATACATTGGAATTCAAATAAACATTGAATAGCAGTATCATGCCTATTTTGTCTGCTGCCTTTTCCTCGCGTGTTGCCTGGTTTGCTGTGGCGTGCCTCCTTAGTCCCACATGGTTTTGCTGCTTGCTGGCCTGGGATGCTCAAATCGCTCTGAGAAAGCGAGCTACGAGATGTACGCTTCCCCAGCTGACACAGGAGGCGGAGGAAAAAATGGCTGGCCCAAGTGCAGCGAGGAGCAATTTCAGACGACCAACAGCAAAAAAAATATGTGAGGTGTAGCCTTATGTATGAGCAACACTGCAGTGCGAGTTGTTTCACGCGGAAAGAAACCAGAAGGAGCCGCACCACCATTGCGGAAAGGCTTAAGATGTTGTGTTCCGCGTTGTTAATACAAAAGAAAAGAAGAAAAAGGGAAAGACAGGGAAATTGCCTTGAAAAACACTGCAGAGTTTTGAGACTTGCAGGTGCAGGGGTGAGGGCATCTCAGTGCAGGGGTATTCAGGCCTCCATGAATCCCCCTCTGGTTCTTGTGCTGAAAGAGGGAGTAACAAGAACAGGAGCAAAGGGGTATACACACCGTATATAGCACACCTATTGTATGCGGAAAATTGCCATTGGCGGCGATAAGTGTGGGTCTTTGTTCCCAACTGAAGTTATGGAAGCTTTATTATTTCTTGACGTTAACAAAGTATGACAAATGCATCAGTAACAGATGTGATCATGAATTTCTTGATAAAAGTTGGTCTCGACATTCGTGCGTCATATTTTAATTATACAGCAGTATATAATGAGTAGCTAACCATGTCCTAGCTAAGTTATAACAGTGTTTCCTAATACTGTGTATTCAACCACCTATCGGTATGTGTATTGGTACTATGGTATGGATATCCGGGTAGCTTATCTGTTCAATCTGTAACGTTCCCTAAATGATACTAATTTAGGGATTGTGAATCCAACTGACCAGATCCTTTAATTGACCACATGTTAATGGTTGAATCAGATGAAACTGATAATATCCGCAATATAAACTCTTTAAGCTTCTTCGTTACCTTTTAAAGTCCGTCCACGAACGGCGTCTATTACTGCTGCAACTCTACCAGCTCTTGCTAGCCTTGGCGCTAACTTCCGGGGAACGATTGGAGGCCTCCACGATCCGCCATTGCTGAGAAAAAGTGGTCCGATTGAGTGACGGAGATGACGGGAATCTCAGTTGAATTATGGCGCTGGAGTGAACGGGTGGAGCTCACCGGGGCAGTAGAAGAGAGAAAAGAAGCGCGAACAAAAAAAAATCACCAGATGAAAAAATCAATCCATCTGCAGTTTAGCCGACGAACAAGTTCCTACTCAACAGACCGGGCAAAAAGTGGGCGGGAAACTTTCTGCACCCGTGCAAGCTGTTGTGTTGGAGCATAAGAGAAAATCGACGGGACGACCCCACTTTGATTCATTTCAAACATTCGAAAATGCTTCTGCTGGCTCGCGGACAACGAAAGCCAAACAACTCACGTTCAGCGAGGCATCAACCTCCAAAACCCTTTCAGGGCACAAGAAAGCGGAAGTGAGTAGCCTACAAGATTGGAAGGCTGGTCAGATAACGAACGGAGTAAATGAAAACGGAATGAGGCGACGGTGTGTGTGTGTGTGTGTGTGTGTGTGTGTGTGTGTGTGTGTGTGGTGTGTGTGTGGTGTGTGTGTGTGGTGTGTGTGTGTGTGTGTGTGTGTGTGGTGGGGGGGGGGTGGGTGTGTGTGTGTGTGTGTGAGATTAAAATAGCCCAATTGCTTTTACAATAAATAAACATTGAATGTGTTTAATTGAATAGTAAAGGGTTTAACGTTAGTGGCAGTTTGTGTGTGAGAGAGAATAAATAAGACAGCCCAATATTTAATAAATATAAGTTATTATTTTCCCCCGCATATTTAGCATATTCCGCAACTTTCCGCATATTTCGCAACTTCCCGCAATTTCACCGCATAAAATCACATAAAACCCCCGCATGTTTGATCGCATAATCAAGGATTTTAGCCCGCATAATCAAGGAATTTAGCCCGCATAATAAAGGATTTTTGCCCGCGTTTTTCTGGAGTGTCTAATTATGTAACACTTGTGCTTCTATTAGCTAGCGTTCCATCACGTTATGCGTGATAGGTTAAAGGGCAGGACATACACACGGCGGCGTGCGTTGAAGCTTCAACGCTTCTGCCCATTCACTTTGAATGGGGTGACTTCACGCAACGCCGAACTGCATTGTGGGAGCAAAGCGTAGCAATGTTCTACTTTTGAAGCTTCGACGGAAGCGTCAGCCAATCGAATCATATGCCAGTACAAGCTCTAGCCAATCAAACTGCTGCTTGTATGGCTGGGTCGGGAGATTAATGTGATTGGTTGTTGGTCGAGCGTCAGACACGGCCGCCGGCAAGCTTCAACGCACACCGCCGTGTGTAGGGGCAGTAAGGGGTTGGCCAATCACAAAAGAGCCAGCCAGCTAACCAATCAGTGCAGACTGGGCTCTGGTTTCAGACAGAGGGTGAACAGAGGTGCTGCAGCACAGGCAGTATGATAACAATAAAGAGCTTTTTGAACATTAAAGCATGGAGACGTGTCAAAGTAGAGGCATCAATACAAATATCAAGCTGAAAATGAGCATAATGTGTCTTTAATCCGTAAAAAATATTGAGACCTAAATGTAATTCCCAAGTTGTACCTGAATAGAGGCCTGAACTACAGCTAGACAGGTCTAAGTCATAAGAAGTCCAGTCTTTGTTATTAAAAACCACAATAGGATTCGCTGCGTTGTTGGCTATAGATTAATAGGTGGACGGCTCCTTGCTGGTGGTCCTCTTATTGGACCCCATTTGTCATTCAATCTCCGGAGCATGAATGTCTTAGAGTGCAAAAAGCAGATCACACAAGCCCATTCCTCTAACAGCCACAGCGCAGCTTGGACACCACAGGCCATGTCAAATAACACATGAAGGATTAAGAAGTCTTGTAGGCCTTTTTGTCATACCACACACACACTCACACACATATGCAAACACATCTGCCTGTACCTGCAACACCCTTTGCACTCTAATCTGCATATCCCTTGCTCTGCACTATAAATTCCACCAGAAACGGGCACTTATACTTTCATAAATCTCGTCCTTGTCACTTTCGAATTACTGAGATTTATTCACTGAAGAACAGGCCGGAACAGAGTCGAGAGAACAAGGAAGAATATAGGGGACGGGGGAAAACACACAAAATGTATTTAAGACTCAACACAGCAGTTTGAGGGGGTTTAGAACGTAAGTGTTGTTATGTAGACCTGCATGTTATCACTGTGCTGAGTTTTCATAAATGTAGTGTTTATGCTTCACATGAGTCCCCTCAAGCAGCCAGTATTTATTGTGCGTGTGTGTTTGTATACATTGTGATTTAATCAAGAAATTACCTTTGTCAAAACTCTAAAGGCACAGTATATCCTATTGAGTTGGCTAGGAAATATGTCATATTAGAGGTGTATAGTGTTTCAGGGAAGATTTTATTTTTGATTTTGATTAGTTAGCATCGCACGGTTTCCTTGAGAAAAAGCAATAGGTTTTTCCATTAGATTTCGGAATATTGCGAAAAATATTTGGCCAACATGTTTAGGATACTTTATTATTTAAAGTGTTTTTTTCCAGCAGGATATCCTCAACATGTTAACACCACACCATTTTTAAAGCACACATGCAACCGCCAGCTAATGTTTTGGCTATACGAACAACATCATGTCACATGACTAAAGGGGGCTAAAGTTCAGTATGATAATGTTAAGTAGTCTAATTAAGTAACTTGTTTTTTGACACTTTAAAAATTCAACAGTGCTTTAGTATTTGCTGACGTTTTTTATGTCGTAGAACAGGGGTGTCAAACTCAAATACACAGTGGGCCAAAATAAAAACCGGACTGGTTCAATGTTTATTGCAAAACGGATTGAAATGAACTTATTGCACATATTAAACCTGGAACTAACAAAGCTTAAATTATTGCCTATAAAAACAACATTAAACATTAAATAATCAGTTGAATTCATTTCTTATGGCTCTATCTGCAGCTTTTCCAGAGTCATTTCTTATGATTACATTTGTCCACAGCCAACAACAGCTTCAAAAAACAATTTCCCTCAAAGAAAAAAACAAACATTCCCTGTTGTCGTGAGAGAAAGTGTAGAAGGAAACATCCATGTAAACTCAGTTTGCTGCTCTGTGATGCTAGTTCAAGCCAGATACTTGGCATCTCATCCATCTTGGGTGCAAGTTCATCAATGTTTGGGCTCAGGCTCTGAGCTGAGGAAACCCTCAGGATGGAGTGAAGGTGTGCATGCAATATACCGGCGGGCCAGATCTAATAGTAATTAGAAATTATCCAACGGGCCGAAATTAAATCCACCACGGGCCTGATTTGGCCCCCGGGCCTTGAGTTTGACACGTGTCGTAGAACAAAATGTGAAAATTGAGCTTGTGTAAACCATAGATCTTTTCAGGCATCTTACAAATAAGGCTTTCCAGCAATACGAGCAAAAGTGCTTGCTAAGGTTTAGGAACATTGGAGCACAAAGTGGTGTTACATATTTTCATGGAGATACGTAACTAATAAGTAAATGTTAACTTTCACATGGAGCACGGAAAAAGCCTTTTGTTTTTAGATTCAACCTTACTTTCAACCGCCTTTCTACACAGTTGTCGTAAAGCATTACTTTTCGTAGGGATAACTGAACGATGCCAATTAAATAAGCTTATCATTTCAGTGAAAAAATTACTTTGGCTAGCTAGAGCGATCTTTCTTTTTATCATTTATAGGATTTTTGTTGTCTCAAGTTTGATACCCCTTGTTGTAATCATGTTTTGAATGTTGATGTGAAGAGTTTGAAGTGTATTACGAATCAACGACTGGCAGAACATCTACTGAGTTTACGTACAGAACAAAATACAATGGTACACATTTTACCAGCAATTTATTCTCCTCTTCTCTGCATCGCTATGACATCTCACCATTTCTCACTCCCTC